AAAAAGCATGTATCTAAGCCATCTTTTTGTCTAATCCTTGATCTGATGGAACACACCCAACCTTGGTGCTTTATAAGAAGGCAGAATCATAATCACAGAGGAATCAGCATTTTGTCAGCTTCAAGCCCCTTAACCTTTCTAATATATTCCTGTATGGGCAACAAGTGGCAAGGAATCCCCTATGTCAACTTCAGGCCTTTTTAGGCAAAACATCCTCTGCCTCTTTTGACTGGATTATTGGCTATGTTGCACATTCCAACCAGGAGAAAAACATGCTCTTCATACTGACTCATTGAAGAAAAAGTGTCACAAAATCAGAGGGTGAAATAAATAACTGCCTATGGATCTTATTTGATTCTAGAAAATGGGTTATTAAGTTGCAACTGTTTGGAAGCATGTTATCTATACATACATGCTATAACAACCAAATAGACATAAAAATCCTTCTTTCACAAAGAGCCCAAATACTGGTTTTTACCAGTGACTATGATTTCCTGAACCAGAAGTAAGTTCATATTGTAAAAAATCTGCATTTGACCATGTTCTCATGCCCTTTCTGGCATCCTCTCTCAATGTCCTGTTTCCCACTTAACTGAAGGTAATGTTGCAGTTAGGCTGATCTGCTCAGCTGGGACAAGCTGCAGTGGAGTTGATGGAAATCAGCTAATTGTGCCAATTAGGAACTTTTGACAAAATAAAAACTTGAGAACTAGCTTTGCTTTGGGATATTTATCATTTGAGATACTTATCATTTGGACATAATACATATTATTAGAGAAATAAAAATTATCATTCCTATTATAGAAACATGGATTAAATACTTCTTAAAGGACAGGAGACCTAGGCATGTCCTGCTGCAATGAGAGAAAGATGATAAAGGCACTGAGTAGAGATTTAGACAATTTGGGCTTGCTTCATAGCTCTCCCACAATCTCCCAGGCAACCTATGCAAGGCACTTAGTTTCACATTGCTGCAGCTCCCCATCTGCCTAATGAGGATAATAATACTTTCCATTTGTCTTATCTATTTAGATGACAAGCTCTACTGGTCAGGGACCTCCTCTACCAGGAATTTTATACAGAACAAGCATTCTGATCTCATGGGCTGCCGGCAGGAGATACTGTAATATAGATAATAAATAACATAGTCCCTTGTGATTTAACATCAAGAACCAAGATCTTTAACCTGCACTATCCATGGAATAATAAACTTTTTCAGTGAAATCAGACAAATACAGATCTCTGCTAAATATGCACAAAAGGCAGATAATTCAGACAATTTAGCTCCTCAAACACAGATGTTAAGCAACTAACCTAAAAGACAATGTTTACACAGACACTTCAGATCAGCTTATGGTCAACATTTGAGCATGAAAGAGAAAAAAGTACTTAATCAGGCATAAATTTCTTTAGCATAGAGCAATGGGTCGTGCACATGTACCTACAGCACCTGCCTAAAGTCAGTACTATGATCAAGTTGGCGTAACTGGTTGTGCTTGAGTGGTAAAGCAAGCTGGTGCCTCATCTTCTGCAAGGAGCTGCCCTCAGCTGAAAAGCATATGCATTACAATGGGGTTAAGAGCACTCAAGCTATATGTTTTGCTAAAATTCACAAAGATGATTGATACAGCTAACGGCTTTGATGGACATTAGAACTATAACACATTTGCAATGAGGAATAGGACAAAAATAGATTAATAATTTTCTTTCAAGACAGCCTATAGAGATACGCAGTACAGCTAGACAATCCTGCAATGCAGGATCAAACACCTATGAAAAAAAAAAATCAATGAAAGTCCATAAACTAACTTTCTCAAGTCAGAGTCTTAGATTACAACCTCTGTCACCTGTTAAGGACAGTGACCCAACCCACCAGAACAAAGCTGCCATTTTCTAATTACAGCTTCTGATAAACAATCTTGATCAACAAGAATAGCAGAAATGTCAAAGGAATCTTACTGAAGCAAGAAAGAATTGTTTGCCCACTTCACTCATCAATTTGCATCCACATTCAGATGCAAGGTTATATATTCCAGATTGTACATTTCAAGAAATCCTAATTGCTCTGATTTACCTAGGGAAATCTAATGATGGAAAAGTTTATCTACTTTCATGCTGTAACAAATAAGAATCATTGCAAACATCTATTCTCTGCTCACTGTGATCTTCGAACGACAGTTGCACAACGCACCCCATCTGCATATTTTTGCAGAATGCACAGGATGGGTGAGGTTTCCTTTTACATTTTTTTCCACCATATTTTAGGTTTTTATAGTATTCTGTTCCTCTGAATAAAGACAAATAGGAATGGGCCTGTTTCTTGAGAGATTAATGAAGCATTGTCCCTGATTATACATTGCCATTGAGTAAAGAATATCTACCAGCTCCTTAGCCCGTGGACACCAGGTAAGTTCTTTCAAGTCAGTAAAACTCGGAAGCTTTAAGCTAAGCTCTCTATTTAGAGAGTTAACGTCGATCACTCCTGACTATTGCACACGGCTGTGCAAACACCTCATTTACAAATTAAACTTTACTTCTGCTTTTGACCTCCTTTCTCCATCTGTCCTCTGCTACTTAAAACACTTCATCCATCCTCTTTTCTTTCACAAGTTTTTGGCAAATGCCTGAGATAAGCAATTATTATCATTGACACCTAACATTACAGCAGCCTAATGCACAGCTTACAAAACACAATTACTAATATCATATGCGGAGAACACAAAGTTACAGGATCAGAGCCTTATCTGCTCTGCAACCTAGTGTATGAAATATAAATAAATTAAAATGTCTCTGATACTGCCCATTTCTCATTCATTCAAGCAGATCCCTTAGGACATCTCATCTCTTATCACATCATTGAACAGTAGCACTATTCGTATGGCAAGACCATCGAAAACATCCTCTAATGCAGGTGGATTGAGCTAGGAGTTCTTCCTGTTCTGCTCCCTCACAGTCCATTTTAGGATTCCAGTGGTGCTGCATGCCTACTGCAATATCTCCAATGTCTTCCTCCAAACCATCTATCCCAGTAACAGCAGCACATCCTCTCAACTACACCCTTCCCCAACATGTAACTGCCATATCCTTTCCTCTTTCTTCTGCTTTTAGGAAGCAGAACAAGAGATGCTCCTAATGCATGGGAAATTTGTCTTTCCAGGTCTTGCAGGTCTAAAGACTACTGCCAACCCATCATTACAATGTCATGCACTACAGGAGGTAACAGCAAGTGGAGGTCCAAATTGTCCTTAGTTAAACCAGGCATGTTCATGTGGTCCGTATGCTTATAATGCCATAAGTGTCTTCAAGGAGACCTTAAGGGCATTATAAGCAGAGCATGAATTTGGATTCCTTTGCATCATTTAACTCGAACCATCAATCACAGTCTTTAAATCATTAACTGAAGGGCATGAGATTAGTCCTTACACTGTGCATTGAAGGGCATTAAATTCTAGTATTGTGCAGTATGTGTTACGTGGAGCAGTAAACACAAACATTTGCATTGCATAAAGGATGGCCCGGGTATCTTGAGGTTGGCTGAATATATTTACCCTAGCTGCAGCAATGACAGCTGATCAAGGGACACTTTGCCCTTGCCCAAATGAGTGATGAGGGCCAACAAACCATACAATATAAAAGGCTGAAACTCTTCCAGTACCAAGGACTGACTGCCAGGTCCTGACCTGACCCTGACATATAAGAAGACGCCATTCACTGCTGGCCACACCTGAGCTAGACTTCAATCAGAAAAGCACAAAACAGGTGATTAATTTTTCATGTGTAAGCTACACCATTAGACTCAGCACCTTGTGGACTCTTGCTGCACTGGCATTGAAGCTGTAATACAGTAATTACATCTGGTCAACCAGACATTTCCTACACAAAGTGGGGATTTATAAGACTTAAAATTGTCAAGGGCTTTTACCTTCAGCCTTCCCAGTGTAAATTTCTATTCACAAAATTGCCTTAATTTCGAATTATGTTGTTCATTTTAGTTTCAAACCACCTACCTGGCACATAAATAGCCCTTATTAGCATACACAGACTAGTCCTTTTACTGGTTAAAAATCAGCAGAAACAACTGCAGGGGTCTGCAGAGAGTCCTCTTTTTTACAGGGTGAATTTTTCCTGGGGGCTGTGTGCCTCAACTCATTCTGTAGTTCCCAGGGGGAGCAAAATGAATATGTGAAGCACAGTGAGGAACAGCCTTTTACAAAGCAATCACCAGCCCACCAAACTAAGCTACAGCTTCACTTCACCCTGAGGTTTGCTGAACCTCAAGGTGAAATCCCGGACTTGAGCAGCAAGATCACCTCACTTCCTGGTCTTCAGCTGAACAGAACCCAAAATATACAAACACCAACTACAGAAGGCATCCACTACTCAAAGTCAGCTCTGAGTGGCATAAAATGACATTTCAATAAAGTACACCAGGGATATCGCTCAAGCTTCTGTTAAATCTTGAATAGCAGGAACCTTATTAATCTTTGGTTTCACAGCAGTCTCCTTCTACTGGAACCTTTACTTCCTGACATCTGTCTTCTGAGAGTTAATGACTGGCAAAACAAGCATTGCCAAATCTGAAGGACTTTATTTCCAATTTAAACCCAAATCAACTCAAGACTTCAGATCATCAGTACCTTCAGGCCAGACATTTGGAGTAGATAGCTACCAAAGCTGAGTAAAAAATAATTCAAGGGTACACTGCAAAAGATGTCTACATAGACCCCTCCCTCTTCCCTGAGGAGTTCATGGAAACCCACACTACCACTAACCATTCCATTCTTGCAGGTCTCATCCTCCAAGGGCAAGTTGAAAGCATGGTTAGGAATAATCTAGCAGCTCCTTAGAGCTATTAAAGACCTATTCAAACATAACTGACATCTCATCCATGTCAAGTGGGCAACTTCTATTGAAATACAGGACACTGTGACATGCACTGTGAATAGCACCAGAACTTTAAGACAGCAAACGCTGCAATGGCATAGTGGCTTAATACTCACACTCAGCAGGAGGCACTTGTTTTCTTTGATGGCGCCTATGCAACCCACGAAGCCAATGATCATGACAAATGTCCCTGTGACAATCAGCAGGTTGGCAGCTGACAGGGATGGGAAAGAAGAAGAGAGGGTGGCAAAATTCCCTTGGGTAACAGCCAGCCAGATGCCTACTCCAAGGATTCCACAGCCTCCTAACTGGGAAAATAAAAAGAAACAAAGAAATTAAGTCATTGTATCCAAGCAACCCCAGATATTCATCCATATCAATATGGCAGCAGTCACACTTAATAGAAAATAATCTCTCCCTATAGCACATTCAGTAGGGAAAACACACAAAGGAGAAAAAAAAAAAAAAAGAGTCATAGAGGGGGAACTCATCAGTAACACTCAAGACCCAAATTTCCCAAATCGAAGACACACCTTTAAATATCAGGTCTTTCTCTCTAGTGAAAAAGCAGAAATTCCCCAAAATGAGAAATTCCCAGAGTCAGATCCCAAAGGGATTGAAAAAAAAAATCCATATTCTATATTGGTACCTCAGAGAGATGCTCAATGAAGCTCTTTTGATGCCCTGCTCTTCCCATCTAATACATTTTCTCCCATCCTTGGCACATGCCATAAATAAATCTTGTCAGAGCATCCCCTGGTAGGACACCTCACACCTCTTCTTAGTTCCTGTCCAAGGTCTATCCTCCCTCGGAAGCAAAAGAGCATTTAAGTGTAAAGGGGCAGAGAAGGAAGGAGTATCCTCCTGTAGCAAAAAAACCCAAAGATGATGTTTACTCCTAATGTGGCCACTAGTTTGGCAATTCAGTCCTCAGAAGGAGACTTGGCTGGTTTAGGAAAGGTTTGAGAGCAGGCTCCCCAGACACAAAGCAAGTAGAAAGGAGGATGCCAGTGAGGCAGCAGCCACCGGTAACCCATAAAATTTGCAATTATTATATACACAAAGAACTTTTAAAAAACACAAACATTTATGAGCATGCTGCTTATAATTGCAAGAAAGCCTGCAGAACTGTAACAATCTGAGTAAAGCTGGGCAATTAGATAGAATTAAACCAAAGGGGATTTTGCATTATTATACAGTCACAGCAGAGCATCACTTAGGTTTCTTTCTTTCTTGCTCTCCCTTTAAAATAACCATTTTTTATTGAGTTTTATAATTGGACTTTATTATCCAAATCAATTAAAGGCTAGGAAAGAAATTGTGTTCATAGAGTAGTAAGCTAGACATAGGAGCATATCAATTAAATGTCTGCATAAAGTGGATGAACATTAAGGCAGCTCATGAACCAGGGAAGGAAAAAGATAGAGCTAATCCTGGGGCAGAGCTAAGCCTCAGAAATGAAACAGAAGAGAAACACAAAAGCCAAAGCAATTTCTTGTACTAATTGCTAAGGTTGCCTCTGCATGCCACTGAATTCCCCCTCAATAAGGACAATAAAGGCAGCTGTGTCTCAAGGCAGGACTCCTCACCCCAGCTGCAAACCAGTCTATTAGTTCAGAACTAAAGAATGCAACAATGCCTCACTGAAATGTACCTCAGCTGCAACAATCTATGTGTCTCCACTGAGAGAAGGCAGATTCCAGCACACAGGGACTCAAATCATCTCATTCAGCAGCCTTTTCATAATATAGGCATCCCATACCACCATATTCACCCTTTAGCATAGTACCCCATAAACACTACAGAGGGACAGTCTATTCCCTGGCCGTATACACTGGAAATAGCTCCCCTCTATGCCCACTTATGGACCATGATCTGAAACATGACTGAAGAATAAGCAGGGGAGAGAAGGAGGAAGAATACTTAGAGCAGATAATCCACAGAAAATCATTTAGGGTAACTGAGGAGGTATAAACAAAAGTTATCAAGATGGCCCAAGGGAAAAATGCTGGAAAAAAAAAACCAAGGGTGAACAAATTCCTTAAAATGGAATAAAACTCTGACGATCCATTGGACTACAGAATAGCATCAAAGGAGAGGTGCAAGACACTCAAGTTAAAACCAAACCGGTCGAAGTGCTAACATACAGTCAGCACTAAATTGCACATTTAGACATACATAGACATACAATCCCACAATAGACATACATAGCATTAAACTGGCAGAATGGGATTGGACAGCACAACTACACTTCCGCCACTGCAGCCTGGTGGATGTTCTGCCTCAAAGCCACAGGCAGTGAGGCCGCACAAATGGGCCAGTTAAGCCTAATGAGGGCATGTGCCCAGTGGCAGCAGAGATCACCTTGCAATATGTTTAGCTATTATCTTTAGTTCTTTGTTCTGAAGCAATTCAACAGCACCAATAAAAGGCAGCTTATTTAATCAACTTTTGTGCTTCCCGTGTTGCTACACTGCTTTGAATGATAGTGACACCTACAACTATCATTCCTATTATGGAAGGTGGGTCTTGCCAAGGACACTGCTGTGTTCAATAAAGGCAAAACCTGCTTGCCTGCTCCTCCATTGCCCATTAAATTCTTTATGATGTACAATGCATAATGCTTGAGACATCATTGCCCTTAGGACATTTGATTCCAGCATCTTCTCCCTCCAAAGTCATTCTTGTCTGCTGAAACTGGGAGCTCACGAGTGGCACAAAACATCACAAAACCAGGAGATGGTTCATTCAAAATGCTGTGACTGTGGCCGTACCCATTTAGATCAGGCTGAATATTTCAGGGCAGCTGGTCAGCAGGAGTATCTCACTACAATGCCCTTAATTCAGAAATAATCTAATGTACATCAGGCTCTCCGGCAGCTCATTATCTTCCTGTTTTTGAAGAGCTAGTGCACAGCTCTTCTGTAGATTGATTAACCAAATCCTGAAATACACAAAGGGATTCTTTGAGCATTAAATCATACAACTGAAACTGGATTTCACAAAATGCTGCTTAGGAAACGTCAGCACACACTACTGAGGGCTGTTCCACCTTACTACAGCCCTGTTTCTTTTCCAACAGCAGAAGGTCCCTTCATGGTTCTTGATTAAAGTCACTGAACAGTCACACCAGGCCCTGGGAAACAGAGGCTATCCTTAACTCTAGCCTAAACTGCTCCTTAAGGCCCCCTTTGTGCCAAGGGGTGAAGCACACCTCTAAGTCTCTGTCCAATGACCGTTACAATACTCAAGCACCTGGCTAAGGAAAAGCTTAGAGGAACCAAGACCGACCAAGAGAGCCATAGGAGCATTTCCAACTACAGCAGAAGATTTTGTGTTCCCAAACATTCAAAATGCTCGGTCCTCCTCCCACCCCCGCAGAACTGAACAGCAGAGTAATTCCCAGCCTAAGGTGCAGGGATCAGAGGGATTACATTTATTTATTTTGGATCAGAGCAAAAGAAAACTATTGCAGTCGGTTCTATGCTGCCTGTCTGTTTTGATTTCTTCATCTTGCTATATAAGGCGCTGTTAAGTTACAGATAATTTTACTTAGTTATTTATGCTGTTCCCTTTCCCCTACTTTTTCTCTCCCTACTCCATCCCCAACCCTCAAGTCCCTGTTTGTGCCAAACAGTCAGAAGCAGAGTGATGAGATGACAAGTCTTGACAGCTTTCAGGGCTCGCTGAGATGTGAAATTAAACAAAATAAAAACCATTAACAGGGCTACTCTTGACAATTTGGGGGCTTACGTACAAACAGTGAGGCTGTCATGGTTAAAAGAGAAAACATGAAATGAAAAACAAGAGCAAGAAGTCTGCAGCTTGAACCTCATCTATTGGCAGTAAAATATGAGTCTGTATTGACTCCATGTGATGAGTGCAGGGTTGACTTTTTAAAAGTAAAAAATCCTTCTCAACAATGTCAGGCTACTGACAACAGCATTTTTTTAATTCCCTTGGGAATTGTTTAACATATTATTCGCCTAACTGCTCATAATAATCCCCTCTCTTGCAAGCAAGGCAGCTCTTGTCACAATTTGAAACAAAATGTGGCTTCTAACTTTTTTTTTTTTTTTAATAATAAATGTTGCATTTTTGGTAAAATCTTTCATTCTAAGGTCAAAGTAGGGGGACATCAGAAAGGATAGTTATCATAGCCCTAAGACTTAAGAGATTTAAGTGTCTGTTCCAGGACAGACTCAGTGTAAATCTCAAATATGCCTGAGTTGTGAAATAGTGAGTACAGACGCACAAGTAGTGGGTTCTTTGCAAACCCTGGACTTTGCAATTGGTTGTTGAAGGAGTATTTTATTCTGCTCAAGACAAATTTCTCATAGGTACTTATAGAGCAGAGCCAAGCAGTAAAGCAGGTGATTTACCCTAAAAGCATAGATTCAGTCTGTATCTCCTTCCCCAAGGGATACACAGACAGGTGTGCACTCCCTCTCTTGGCACAAAAGCTGCCTATGGAATTAGATCCTCCAAATTGTTTTAATGGGCTAGAAAATAAATTATTCAAACTTCAGTGCATACAGTTAGAATTGATCTTACAGTATGGTAAAAAAAGTAATCCCAAACAGCCCTAGATATATGCATGTTGTTGGAGAAAATTATTCTGAAGTTACATCTATGCACTTAAAATACTGCAGGAGAAATTGCCTCATTGTTCATGACAATGGTATTAGTGTCTTTAAGTGGGTTTTTATTGGTTTTATTACACAGAAAATGCATCTAATTGAGGCTTCCCAGATTGTATCTGATTAGGATCTACCCATCATACTTCCTCTTTTAGATAAAAAAAAATACACTGATAAAAGAATCCAAGTAGAAAGTATGACCAGTTGTTTTGTAGTTAAATTAACTCACTTGAGGTTTTTTTCTCACCAGCCTCCACATATTTAAACTAAGAGGGCTTTCTCAATCGCACTTGCTGTTCAGTTACTCCTGTATGAATATGCTTCTTCCTCTATGGGGTAAGAGTATACAATGGAAAATCAACATCCAAGCATTAATAATAACGATGTGAACATCATCCAGCAGATGTTCTTGTAACGTAAGGCATACTTAAATTGCTGTTCCTTTAAGCTAGACATACAGAAGAGGTGAAAATGGAATGCATACATGCATTGACAGGATCAAATGAATCAAGGAACTTACACAGAAAAAGCAGAGATGTGTGCTAATGCAGAGACTGCAGCACTCTATGCAAGCATATGCAAACAAATGCAAACAACCTGTTGGTGTAGCTGTTGCCTATCTTGGAGGAAGGAGCAGCCACTTCTGGAAAACACCTTCAAAGACACTG